GGTCAAAGTGATAAAGATTAGAAACCTCGTAGCAATTTCTTAACTCACTCCTCCTTTTTTTATGCACCACGGAAAATTTTATAAATATTTTTTTAAAATTGAAAGTAAATTTTCGGTTCACATCATATTATAAATAAATTACGTTGAAATAATTGAATATAAATCAAAAGTATACTTACGATTTACAATCAGAAATATATTTTATTTCTTGAGGAATTATATGGTGAGTTGTCTCTTCTCATCCCATTACAGCAACTCATTCAAAACAAAACACAAAACTCTCTCAAACTCTTATTTTATAAATTAAATATTTTGTCAAAAAAACTATTAGAAATCATTAAACAATAGTTAAATAAAGCATTTTAACGCTATCAATCAAGAAAAATCAACATCAATCAATCAGATATGTTATTTTTGAAAAAAAATTGAGTTTATGTAATTTCTACTCAAATTAGTGAATTAGTATTCAAAATGTGATAGTGTAGCTCGTTATCATCATTAGAAGTAATTAGAAAAATATTTCTAAAGTTTATTTGATGATCAATACTCTTATTTGGACTCATTTGGAGGACTGAGACGCCAAATGAGCGTTAACCAGAATTAAATTTTCAATTTTGATAAAAACAAAACCGCAAGTATAGTTCCGTTTTCGGTAAGAACAAAACTACAAGTTTAGTTTTTTGGTATAGTATCGTATTTGTATTTGAATTACATTTTGGGGTTGTTTACGACTCTATCACAGTATATATATATATATATATATATATATATGTGTGTGTGTGTATGCGCGCGCGAGCGTGTGTCTTTTGGTACTGACAGCATCAGAATCAAAAATATATTTTCGATTTTAAGTCAAATTTTAAAAGAAAATACATATATATATATATATATATATATATATATATATATATATATATATATATATATATATATATATATATATACTAAAAATATACTTCTGATTTTAAAGAAACATTATATAAATTGCATATAAGATTTAATTTTTCCACATGGAGTGGGATAAAAAATATGTGGAGAAAAGACGAAAAAGTACTAAAGATTTAGGTTCATTCAAATTTTAATTGGACTCACATGGACACTATTAGGTATATGATTTGGATTTTTTCGGCATCACCTAATTTTCAAAATTACATATATTTTTTCTTCTAAAGATCACTTTTAGATTATGTTTGGTAAAAAGGTAGTGTGGATAAAATAGAAAATTAAAATAAAATATTTAATAAAATTAATAATTTAAGTAATTGATAAATGTAAATGATGACATAAACAAAATATTTTAAATAATTCGTTATTGTAAAAAATAGTTATATTTACTTATTTCATTTATGATAATGAAGATATATATTATATATTATAAGTTAAAATCCTAGCTAAAGTTGCAAGTCAAAAAATATATAAAAGTTAGTGGGTTCGAATTCATGATTTACATCTGATACTTATACACAACTATCAACTAAGTTTACTTAATGAAATACAATAAAAATTTATTTTTATTTATGAATTTGAATTTGTGATCTTAAATCTAATATTTCTGCATAATTACCAACTGAACTGACTTAACAGACAGAATAAAATTCTATTTTTACGTTATATAGTTATTCGAACTTACAAAATATACAAGATATGATTGAATAGCTCGGTATGTATTAGTTTACTCAAATGGTTGTAAATTATGGCTACAAAGTTTAGTCTACAACTATTTATATTTATAAATTAATATAAATAAAATTAGTTTTCGATATAACTTGGAAAACATTTCCTTATATTCTCTCAGTCTCAAAATAAGGGTCACATTTAAAAAATAATTTATCCCAAAATACTTGTCACTTTAAGTTACCAATACAATTTCATATTTAATCTTCTAATTGTATCATCTAATAAATACTCTTTAAGTTATTATTTTCTCACTTAACATTAATACTAATTTGAATACACTAGTAATTAATCAGGATAATTTGATAAATCATTATTCTCTTTCTTTCATTTATTAATATTTCTTAATTCGTATGAAATGATCAATTGTGACAAATAATATAGAACGGAAGAAGTACATTTAATTTAGTATAATCAGTTGTAAATAATTCCCTTATACATTTTTAGGGTTTAATTTCCAACTGTATTTTTAAAATTTCTATAATGTATTTGTAAGAAAATTGATATTTATAACATTTTTTTCATTGTATTTTTTCACAATGATAAACTTAAATAAAATTGCATCTTGAACATGGGCAAAAATAATTATTTTGTTGTCATACTAACTGACATGGACATTGCAAGTGGCTTATCCACACAGGCCCAAAGAGACAGGGTCCATAATATTGACAGCTTTCTCACTCTTGATGAAATCATTCATGAGCTTAGCCACAAAAACAAAACACTTCATACTTCATCTTAAGAATTTTTTATTAAAAAAGAATAAAAATATATATATAAATATTCAAATCTTAAGAATAAAGATTTTTTTTTGTCTTCTTTCCATTATCTAGGAGGGTCTTACATTTTGTCGAAAGGAATATTTATTTCCTAACAATGTAAAAAAATGTCTTATTCATATATTATATAATAACTTTTAAAAAAATTAAGAAAATGACTTAATTGTTTTAAAATATTGTAAAGTTTTAACAATTTTGAAACCTTTTTTTTTTCATTTCTAGTACTATATTTATTATTTAAAGGATTATGTTTATGTACATAAAGGAGGCTATGGTACACTTGAGGAGCTTCTTGAGGTGATAACATGGGCACAACTTGGCATCCATGATAAACCAGTAAAGATTTTTATCCTACACAATTTATTATTATATTGAAATTTTCTCTCTTACCCTTTTGCAATATAAATATATGTTGACATTAATTTTTTGGTTTTTGAAGGTTGGATTGCTAAATGTTGATGGATACTACAATTCTTTATTGTCTTTCATTGACAAAGCTGTGGAGGAAGGATTCATTAGCCCCACAGCTAGGCATATAATTGTCTCTGCTCCAACACCAAAAGAACTTGTCAAAAACATGGAGGTAATTCTATCTAATACTTTCAAAACCGGGTCGAAGCAACAAGTTCAAATCATGATCCGAATGTCTTATTGGTTCTTTTGGTTTCGCGCTGCTCTTGTAGGAATATTTCCCACAGCATGAAAGAGTTGCCTCAAAGCTAACATGGGAAAGTGATCAGCTAGATTAGATGGTGATCGAAGTTTGTGTAGAGAACAATTGTTAGTCGGGATGAGCTACAATTCATGGGACCGATATAGTAGAAGATGATAATTTCATGGAGCCGGGATTTTTGTGTGCTCTTACATTTCCTTGTTAGTGTAAAACTAAATATTTGGAATCTAGCTATCAATGCTAACTACTATATGCTCAATGTGAATTCTGTTTTGTTTTTTCAGACTCCATTTGTTGGACTTAAAAGAGAAATTGAGCACATAATTTAAGTGTCCAAAAGTTATTACCAAGTAACAATTCTCACGCAATTTAAAGAACAATCGCAAAAGTTCATCCATAAACAGTTATAATATCTAGGACACACTTTAAAACAGCCTTCCCTATAACTACGACGGTAGGTATGAATCTATTGGTCGAAATTCATTAAGATGTAGTTGCACAACAATACAAGGTACACAATGCTTTAATGGCCATCAAGTGTTGCCAATGACTCATTAAGGAGCCTTCGAGCTTCTTCTCTCCTCCTAAAAAGAAAAAGAAAAGCGGGTTAAACAAGGGACAGAACCATTGCCCCTATCAAATTTGGTGAACTATACGATCTCACAATTTAGACTAATCAAGATTCCAAAGAATTACAGACATTTCCTGAGATACAGCAGAAATTGTCTTTCAAGGTATGGTAAAGTACAATGTGAAATGCTATGATTTCAGGTTGTCAAAGTAAAATGACCGTAGTTCATTAGAAAACATTTGGCAACATAAATCATCAAGGGAATGACAGGGGATGTTTCCAATTTCTGTTATCGATTTGAACTACATTATTAAAAATGCATGCAGTTTTTAAACTTCCTTCCACGGTTAAATCATAAATGGACAAGTGTGTGTTGCTGAAACATGAAAAAGATAGGGTGATTGTGTAACTGTAAACTATATGCATTAAATTTTACTTGAGCATAAAATTCTAGATTCTAGAGGGAAATAGTATAATCAACTTTTTCAATAAAATAAAACCCGGCTAAGCAAGCATCCAAGAATATACTTGGTTGACATAATACATATAATCATCTTTTAATAGATAGAAGAAAATATTAGAGGATAATACTTGGTTGACATAATACATATAATCATCTTTTATACCGCATACAAGAATATAACTCTTGTAACAAAAGATGCAATGCCTAATGGTTACATTGTGCAGAGGATGTTCAAAAGATAATTTAAAACAGGAGTACAAAAGAACCTAATTAAGTGCTTACTATAAAATTTCTTCATATTCCGTTCATTCTTCTTCACCAACACACCATCTTCTCTTCAAATCTCTTAAAACTCTCAAAATCTCTAATGTCTTCTTCAAATGAACCAGACATGCCATCATTGATGAACAACCCTTATCCACCATTTTACCTTCCGACATCTCAAAATCTCAAGCATCATCCCTTCAACCACAACCATCCCTGCCTCCAAAAATTGATGGAACAAGAAAATCAAGGAGACTTGTAAAATCAAAAATCTCTCAACTCAACACAAATTACTCTGATGAATCTGACAGTGAACTCTGTCCAGAAGACCATACCATTCATCCCTCTCAAAACGCCATTTTCTCCACCAAAGAAAAACTTCAATTGTTCAATACAAAATGGCGTGGTGTATGTGTGATTCCTGGGAAGCACATGCATTTTGAAAGCTTCACCATAGGCTACAATATTGACGAAATCATCTTTCCTCAAGGATAGAAAAAGATCCTAACCCTCAACATCAACACTTACCCAAGGCTGGTACGAAGCTTCTATGCTGCTATCTCCCAGAGAAGTTAGATGAAGTTCTTACAACTTCAATCAAACGTAAAACCATCATCCTTACTTACCCCTTCACTCATTTGCAAAATCTTAAAAATCCCTGACTCTGGTATTCATATTTTTGACAAAGAATGGGTCTCTAATTATACCACTGAACTTGATCAAGTCCTACTTGAACTCTACATTAATGTTGAAAAGTTTCTAGTATCGTCCAACCTCAAAACCATTCCTCGTATCCTTCACAAAATGATTGTCCATAACATTGTTCCACGTGCTGGTAGCCATGAAAAAGTAACATGATATGATATTCTTGTCTACGTAATCTTAAACTTCATGAAACATACACACCAAAAAGGCCGTAGTGCTCCTTATGGAGGAAGGCTACTTTCCTTGGTTTTCAACTATTTTGGAATCTCTCTTGAAAATGAAACCCATTTTTAGGGAAAAGGATGCATTCATGGAAACCGACTTGGAAAAATGAATATCCCTGTCCTACCTTCCGCTCAAAAACGCAAACGCAAACCAAATCTCCCTGCCTCCAAAAAGAAAAACAAAACCTCAGAAAAAACTCAAGCATCTACACAAAACCTAGAGACCAAGGACTACTCTTCTGACAACTCGGGTACTGAACCAAACATTAAACCAACCCCTTTGTCCCCTACAATGGAACAAATTGTATCACCACTTGTGGAACAAACAACAACTCCTCCAGAAACACATTGCTGACATCACTCCTAGTGAAACCTCAAACACTCTTACTAACCTCATACCTGCTGTACCCGAAAATATTCATGATCAAACTCCTATCTTAAACTATTCTCTCCCTGAGAATTCCACTCAAGCTGAAGGTGATCTTTTCGTCCCTCAAAATGTGGTACCTGTATCCACTGAAATACTTAGCTTTAATACCTTTCCTATTGACAATCCTCAAATAGAACAAACCTTTTCTCACTCACCCATGTTTGACTCCTCCACAATGCAATCCCACTTCTCACCACATGTACCAAACTTAGACCTTAACTTGGTCTCCACTCAACAAACAACACCTCTCGATGAAAACTTGGACTTCTCTTCAATGTCCTCCACCTCTCAAACTGTGACTATCTCTAGTGGGTTTGATCCAAACATTGAAACTTTGTACTCTTCTTCCCACTAATCTTCAAAAATCTAGCTCCACAATCCCTACCACTCAACAAAACTTAGACTTTCTGAATCCTTTTGCTCTTTTCTCCTCTCCTCAGAGTGGTGAGACAAACTTTGCCAACACTCTAAATAAGTATCTAACTCCTGCACCAATCTATGACATGTATGACTCCCCTCCTAGATTCACCACTCAAGGAACCACTCCCCTTGAACCATTTGGATCACTCAACTCATCCTTATTTTTGAACACATCTGATCAACTGACTCCTCCCACTTTTCAACCCTTCAAAAATCCAACCACCGGTAGCTCCTCCATTCATGAAAATTTCACTGCTATGCAGAAGGCCATAGTCAACATTGGCATACAAACTCAAGCCTTCTTTGATTGGCACACTTTTGTGTTTCTTCCAAGAGCTTCTCCACACGTTTCTCCTCCAGCACTGCCTGAGTTTGAATTTCCCTTCCTCCAACCATCAAACAACTCCTCTGGAGATACTGCCTAAACAACTACTTTGCTACGCCCCTCCTTTTTTGAATGATGACAAAAGGGGGAGTATTGATTAAATACTTATGACTACTATTAGGATGCATGTTATCATCTATCATCACTATAGTACTCCACTAAGCACTTAATTAGGTTCTTTTGTATTGCACTTAATTAGGTTCTTTTGTACTCCTGTTTTAAATTATCCTTTGAACATCCTCTGCACAATGTAACCATTAGGCATTGCTGCACCTTTTGTTACAAGAGTTATATTCTTGTATGCTCCTTTGTATAATATCTATTATTGTATAAAAAATAATTATATGTATTATGTCAACCAAGTATTATCCTCCAACATTTTCTTCTATCTATTAAAAATGGTTTATGCATATAGTCAGGGGGAGCATAATACTCATACACTAAGATCAAAAATCTCATTTGCAGGGGGAGCCCTTATATATATATATTGAAACATCCCTATAAATTTGTCATCCCCAAAAAGGGGGAGAATGTTGAAACATCCCTATAAATTTGTCATTCCCAAAAAGGGAGAGAATGTTGAAACATCCCATAAATTTTTGAGGATAACAAATCATGCTTGTTTTATCTAACTTCTGTTACAAGATTTGTAGATAGGTATTCGAAGAAAATATGTTAAAGAGATCTCCTTTACATACTCAATTTTGTTTTAATATATTTGAAGAACTTAAAGGAATACTCCTACTCTTCATTCATGTAATCAAAAGGATTCACTAAATACATTTCTGTCTCCTCAAAAGTACAAATGAAAGAAAGGATAATCATTTCACTTACCTTTGACATGACCCTTGGTTATCCCATCACAATAGTACAAAGTTTCATCATAACCTCTCAACAGTTATCTCTCAAATGTGATTATAAAAAGGACTAACTTGTCTCATGGAAAGATCATAAATTGATAAAAGAAAGAAAGCTTTAAGAACATTCTCCTCATCTCACTACAAAGCTTCATTCAAATTTATTCAAGTCAAAAGCCTATCACTGCCATACTGTGTTTGAGTTCTTTGTTAAAATATTATCTTTTTGTAATCCTCAAGCGATATAAAAAGCTTGTAAAGAAGAGTGTAATCAAAATCTAAAGAAAGAATGTTTTAGTAGTTGTATAGCCTTTTGAGGCTAAAGGAAAGTTACCACATTTATTCTTGACAAGAATAGTTTGTGAGGAATAAGAAAAATCTCGCTGTGTGTGAGGACTGGACTAATCAAAATTGGTGAACCAGGATAAATTTGTTATGTGTAAATTTTACTTTCCTTGTCTCCTCAAATCAACTTTTGCAAAACTATTTAAAGACACAAATTTTAAAGGGTCACTATTCAAAGCCCCCCTTCCTAGTGACATTTAAGTTACTTCAGGTACAACCAGAAGGAATGAACTATCTCTTGGATTTTGTAATCCATGAAGGTTACAAAACATACCAACAAAAATAGTAGAAGGATCTAAAATCGTAGTCAAGGACATTAAAAAAAACATCAGGAAATGTGCATACCTTTTTATGTCCTCCACGGCTTGTTTACGGCGCTCTATCTGGAGTTCCAAAATGTGAATTAAAGTTGCTCTAGCCTATTATTAAGTAAGTATATGATATAATGAAAACTTCAGATAAGGGAAAAGCACAAGAAACATCCAAATCAAAGGCTAGTATATATAATTATAGTGGTGTAGAATATTGTTTACCTGATGAGGACGTAGTGAATTTAAAAGGTGGTGTAAATTTTTGAACACGGTTGAAATTTCTTCAACTCTCCTTGCATATTGAGATGGTCTCTCAATAAGAATATCAGCAAGCTCCAAAACATGTAGTTGCAATTCTCCATTAAGTGACCTCAGCTCCTTCTTGAAATCTATGGAAGGTAAGATGTTAACTATAAGGAGGTAACATTTTATCTAGTAGAGACACCATATTCTGCGACTAATTCAGTATTTTCTCAATCACAGAACTTAATAATGCCAACAAGATCAAGTCCAAAAGTCTAGAGTCATGACTATAAAATCACATATGAAGTTACAATGTTTATTATACCAAAAATCACTAAATGAAAAATCTGAAACATAAATTGAAGGAGGTTAATCAAAAGAAGCATTTATATAGACAAAAAAGTGAAACGATTGTGATCCGAGACACCCCAAAAACCTTGCCCCCCAAGTCAACATACCGACAAAGGATTAGTATTGTCAATCGTGGATCACGGAAAACAGCGGTTATTCAGATTTCACTTAACTGCAACGGTAAAGTACATATAGTGATTTGTTCCAATTCCACTAAGCTACAATGGTAAAGTGCATATGGTGTCGCTATTTGACAACACTGCGAATGATAAGAATGAAATACATAACATAAAATCCAAATTGTACAACACATATGGCCAGCCACTTCACAACATTTTGAAATTTAATTGAGCATAAAAAAAAGTTGAAGATAACCTACCAATATTAGGTCCCTTGGAATAGAGTTGGCGCACTCCCTGTTCTTCCAAGCTTGGTAGAGCATCACTAGTCTATGTAAAAAAAAATAAAGAAACAAAATATTAACTCTATATGATCGTGCCAAAGAGGTTTCTGCATAAAATCTCAAACAGATAAATAGATACTTTCAGAAAATCGCATCTCAAACCAATAAGAAGAAACCATGTTTTACATGACTAAACACAATCTGATCTTGAATATAAACAAAAACAAATCCAGTTTTGGCGGTCCAGAATATGGGCAAATCTTAACTACATTACCCTATTTAATGGTATCATGTCGGACAAGATACTTTTCAATTTTTTAAGTATTTAAGCTTTATAGAGGGCATCCAATCATAGCCCTAAAAAATGGTATACCAAACAACTAGATGGTAAACAGAACTTATGTTTAGAAGACGATACTAAAACAGCTTTTGAAAGTAAAGATTTAACGAAATAATTGGAGCTGCTGCCAAATATATGCCTAGGAGGTCACTTGTTTGAACTGTGAAATCAACCTCACCTTCACGGATTTAACCATTCCCATAACCCTGATGATGAGAGCTTTCCTTAGCACCAAACCCGTTTGGATATACAACTTAATTATTTATAGGGTAAAGGGTTATTATTCAATAAGCACTTATGGATAAGTTATCTGCACAGCAACAATCAAGTCATATCCCACTAAATGAGGTTTGCGTATATGTTATTAGTACAATCAAACAAAATATAGTCAAATTGTCTTCGTATAGGTTGTTTTCATAAGCTATAGGTTGTTTTCATAAGCTATAGGTTGTTTTCATAAGCTATAGGTTGTTTTCATAAGCTATAAGCTATTCTAGAGAGCTTATCGAAATTGGCTTAAAAAGTTAAAATAGTTTATGGACATTCATATTTCATAGGTTTATGGGACATTCACGGATTTATCCATTCCCATAACCTTGACGACGAGAGCCTTCTCTATCAACAGACCCATTTAGATAAACATCTTAATGACTTATAAGGTAAAGGGTTACTAAATAAGCACTTATGTATAAATTATTTATACAATCAAACAAAAGTTAGTCAAATCGTTTCCCTATAAGTTGTTTTCATAAGCTATAAGCTATTCTAGAGAACTTGTTGAAATTGGCTTAGAAAGTTAAAATAGTTTATGGACATTCATAAGTTGTTTCTTTAAGACCACCTAAACACTCTGGAATAAGCTCAAATTAGGTTGTTCATAAGTCAATACAAAGGCAGCCAAGGTGTCCTATTTATTCGAACAACTTCTGAAGCAAATAAAAGCTCTTTTGGGCTTTCAATAGATGGCAAAAAGCTCCAAACTTGTGGAAGTATTTATGCACAAGCCAAAGATAAAAGCGGGTAAAAATAAACACAAGTGTAAAAAGCCTCACAGTGTAACTGCCTCCAAAACAAATGTAAGTCCCTTCAATTGGTGGTGGAGGCTCTGGAGCAGACTGAGGGTCTTGCGCGTAATTTTTGTAAAGCCTGTAATAAGGTGGTGGTGGTGGGTATGTAGCCGTTGCCATAACAAAAAATCTTCCAATCAAAAACCGTTAAAGATCATACATGCATCTCAACTTCAAGATCTGCATCATTAAATTAAAAATAACAAAGTGTTAAATTGTAGCAAATGAGGCATTGAATAGTTTAAGTTTTACAGTTCATAAACCCTAAATGCTAAAGACATAATAAAGGATTAATTTTTTCACGTTTTAGATTAAAAAAAAATTGAAAACGAAGCACGAATAGTAGTTCATCAATTCATGGTTAACATTTCCAGAATATAAAAAAACCTGACTTTCAAGTGTTGAAAAAAAACCCTCTTTGAGCCTTTAGCATGAAATTGAATTGTGAGAACGTGATTACAACTTATCAAAATCGAAATTGTTAGCATAAGATTATGATTAAATTAATATGAATCCTATGATTAAACAATCGAAATCAAAGTGATGGTAGTTTAATTTACAATACACAAAAATTCACATAGTGCAAGGGACATTGGAGTGAGAAGAAGATGACTCACTTCACAGAGTTGTATAGATGGACGGTTGGCCGCCGGTGTGATGTCTGCGGCGGAGCGGATGGCTGAGTGATGTGCTGGGCGGCGGAGCGGATGGCTGAGTGATGTGCTGGGCGGCTGCCGGTTCGTGAGAGAGGCGGAGAGTGACGGAGACAACGTGAAATAGAGGGAGAGCTATGAAATTTTTTCTGTTTATTATGAAAATAAATTGAAAATAAAATATAAAACCAAAAAGATTTAACATTTCGAAATAATTTCAAGAAAAAATAGATTAGAAACTAAAAACAAAAATATATTAACTTACCGGGATCAATCAATTATAACTTATTTAATTTGATTTTCTTCGTTATTATCGAATCCTTAATATACATGTTTAACTCACATAACTACAATGATATCCTCAAAAACATGGAGTTTAAATGCAAAATTTAATATAGAATGGATGAGGAATTAACATGTATTCTCTTACTTACATGACATCCCTTATCTATGTTTTTACTATTAAATTTTTGAGAATAATCAATAAATTTCAAAAAACATAATTTTTACTGGAACTTTGAGTATTGGAAATTTCAAGAAAATTTTTTTTTGAAATTTTCAGAGGAAAAATTCAGAATTTTTGAAAAAAATATTGAATTTTTCGAAAAATTCAGTATTACACTTTTTGTAAGAAATTTTTTTTTATACTATCGAAAATTTTAGTCGTGGACACCCCCTAAATTTGTTTAGGGGTATTTTTAGAATAAATCAAATTAGAGGGTGGCATATTTAATTTTATGGATGGCATGTTAATTTCTCATAATGGAAATATATATTTTAGAAAAAGTATGTTACAGTGGCTTGGACGAAAACTTGCATTTCCGTTGATGAAGGTAATTTGGGCCTTAGGTTCTAGACACGTATATAGCATTTAATCTAGAGAATTTAAAATTGTTTTTTATATTTTAGAGATATATTTTCGAACGCAATTTGTTTATTAAATATTAATAAGGGGAACAGAGATGCGTCTCCAGATTAATTCTATGTATACATCGCAAGACAGAATTCAGAGATGCATCTCTGTACTCAGTCTAGACATTAAATTTTAAGTTTTGTATTGATGTTCAGATGAATTAGTCAGAAGGTATACTATGATGAATTAGACAATACAACGGCTATGCAAAAAATGGCATATATATAGTTTTAAATCAAGAGTACATAACGAAGTCGAAATAAGTATAAATAAAATATAATCCAAAAGAAATCCAGAGTACAAGTACTATAATCTACTATGTGTGACAGACTCAGAATCGGCCTCGTGACCCCATGTTCCTACACTGCCTCATGTATTGCAATGCCTCCCGAGCCTCCACCATCATGGCATCTACAATGTCTCTCGCCTCAGAGCCATCTAAAAAGAGTCATTTGTCAGTATCTGACTGCCCAATCTCCATGATACGATGACATTTAGGCAACACATCAACAACATGATATGTCCTAGCTTGATCCTCTTCTAGTATCTCCTGATGAGTTGGCCTCGGTGGATCTCCTAGAGTATTATATACCATATAAGAATGTGACACTATGAAGAACCACCATATGTAACCATCTACGTAACTTCAGTCGCTCTCAACTATGGTACTTTGTGCCTCCTTTGGTACTAAATGATTAAGATAATCATCAAACATAACATCCATGAAGGTTGAGAAAAACATAAGAAACAGGGGTTTGAATTGGGTTTTAAAAAAATCGTTTTGAAGTGCTCAACACAAACAATTAGAATTAGAAACAATGTTATTAGAAGAGAAATAATGACACGTTCGGTTTGTACTGGTTTACCTTAGAAAAGATTAATCATGTCCACCCGCCAAAGTGATTTGCCCTTAAAAAAGGACTTAATCCACTATAATCAAACTGATTACAATTGCACTGGCTATCAGTCAGTGACTAACAACAACGGTGATAACCTGTTAGTGATCTCTTAAGAATTCTTACCTACTCGGTCCCCTAAGAGATATAACGAGCACTGACTCCTTAAGACTTCTGACCTACCCGGTCCCTTGAAGGAGATTTTTCTAAGTCTTCTAGAATTCTGACCTACCTGGTCACTCAAGGACAATCAACAACAGTTGATAAATGTGTTTACAAATTGCTTATAATAAGTCGATTACACAAATGGTTAAGTCCTGATTGTTTAACACAGATATGAGCAATAATTCTTATGTTTAAACAATTTACAATAGTAACACAATAATGAGCAACAACTCTTGTGTTCTAACAAATTACGGTAACAACACAATTATGAGCAACAACTCTTGTGTTCTTAATAAATAGTAATATCAACACAGTAATGAGAAACAACTAATGTGTTCAAGCAAATAATAATATCAACACAATAATGAGAAACAACTCTTGTGTTTTTATCTTCGTCTTTTTTCTTGCTTTTATCTTCAAGTATTGATTTTGGCAGAATTAATGTTCTTGTGTTATAATTCTCTGAAATTGCAAATGAACAGTTGATCCTTTATATAGGCGTTGAAGAAGTAGACCGTTATAGTAGTACACGCGTCACTTTCATTTCCAGCTGCCATAACGGTAATAAATGATCGTGGGAGACAAACAGTACACAGTACTTCTATTTGAGTGGAATGTGTAATTGTACTTTTGTACTAACTCTTCTAGTGCTTATTTATGATGATATTATCTTTTGATAAATATTCCTTCTGATGAAATAGACTGGCTTGAGAAGATATCATCTTTGATCTTGTTTTCTAATAGACTATATGATGTAGAATAGTAATGAGCCCAGAAGATCTAACTTTCTATGATTTGTCTTCTGATGGAATGCTTTCCAATGTGAAGTGATGTGCGCGTATTCCACGAATTATCCGAGTCTCCAGAATCTTGATTTTGTCTTTAGAATTAGAAGCAACAACTTTTATGATGAACAAATCTTGACTTCTGTTTTAGAGGTAGAAGTTTTTCTTTGATGTGTTCAGAATCTTGACTTTGTCTTCAGAATTAGAAGCAGCAGCTCTTCTGACGAACAAATCTTGACTTCTGATCTTTGATGTAAAAGTTTGTTTCTGGTACAAACTTATTTTCTGGTCTTTGAACAGCGGCTCTAACAAAATTCTTTCTTCTTGAATACTTGTGACTTCTGAAGTAGCAGCTTATTGAGAAGTACACGTTGAGATCTTCTTGCTGGCAAACATTCAGCATTCTTCAGAACTACTGATGTTTCTTCAGAAGCGGATGCAATAGTCTTTCTGATGCGTGCTTTTTGACTATTCTTTAGACAACAGTCTTGAATCAATTTAGAATATCTGATTTGCACACTCAAGAAACTATTTGAAACAAAGTTGTTTACATATAAAATATATGTATTGTTATCATCAAGATCCAGAGATTAATTGTAGAATCTAAATCTTGTTATAACAATCTATACTTGTGCAATATCGTTGTGTCTCAATCGGTCTTGTCTATTATTTATAATTCTTGTAAGTTGACCACACCACAAGCGTTACACAATGAGTTCTATCTAAAAATGGCAAAAAAAAATGCAGACTAATACACTACGGAGATGCATCTCTGATTTATGGGTTTCCAAACGTTGCAAAATTTCAGAGATGTATCTCTAAAATATTCGGCAACTCTCATCATCATCAATGGTGGAATGCAAACCCCTAAATCATCTAAAGTAATGCATTGATCATAAAAACTACCTATCTAACTCGTTTCTCATTAAGTATAAGCTATTAAACATATATAATCTATCTATTTCATAACCTAATAATCAACTTCTACAAATTTATACAAAAACTCAATAAAGTTTACAAAAATCAGTAACTTATAAATAGTTGGTTGATTGAACTTGATGTTGATGGAGGAATTTTGAAGTTGATCGAATGTTGTTTGAGAGAGTTTGAGAAAAATATGGTTTGATAGAGTTTGATAAAATGTGTTTTTTAGAAGTGAGGAAGGAGAAGGGGTTTTGGAACATTTTTGAACAAATAACGTCTGGAGATGCATCTCTGTAAAGTATCAGAAGATTTATCTCCATAATATTTTTCTTTTGAGTTAAGGCTTGATTCAAAAATGTATTGAATTCAGGTGTGTCATGAGATGCATCTATGTAATATATACTAAGTTGTATCTCCACAATATTTTTTCATTGAGTTAAAACCTGATTCATAAATGTATTGAGTTTTTGTCCGTTCGAAAATGCATCTCTGAAACCTATAGGCATTATTGTATTTTGACGAGGTGTTATAATAATGTATATGGTGAATTAAGAAATTCTGATATACCTAATTATATATATTTTTTAGCATTTTCTAATATTTTAATTATACTTTAGCTAGCATTGAATGAAACTGAGCAAATCAAGACTATATTCAAGATTTTGTGGAAAACACTTAAATTCATTCGGAATCACTTTAACTAGATAAATTTCATAATGTTTACATGATGAAAGTTACAATGAAAAGAAATGTAGCAAGACTTACTCACACAAAATTGAAAAGA